ATGTATATGAATAAAATGATGAACAACTATGAATAGAGGCTGGTATTGTAATTTAATTAAACTTAAATTTTTTTTTAGATTAGTGATGGGCAATATTTACTAAATAATTAGAACGAAAGTATTTAGGTAAGTATTTACATACATATGTTGTTGTAGATAATCAAGTGCTTTGTAATTAAGTTTTTGGATGCCACTAAATTCCAAGTATGCTAGTAGGTAGTAGTGTGCTAAAGACTTTAACCAAAGTAGTACCGAGAGAAATCCCGAAATAGGCCCGAAGCAATTCCGGAAAAATCTCGCAAGATACTTATAACGCAACGAACGCCGACATAGGGATGAAACGATACCACTCAGGTATCGATACCCTTACTTTGAAGTAGTATCATAATAAAGTATCGATACCCGAAAAATATCTGATCTAAAGTATTGATACCTACTTGAATTGGTACTTTCGGCCATGAAGACATGGGTACTGGGTATTGAATTTCGATGTTTGGGGAGACCAATTTAATTTTTTTTCTTAGGCAGTTAGACTGTATCTTCGTTTATAAGTTGACAAAATTCCAGGTATATATCTCATATATTAAATAAGAAAGTACCGGTATTTTATATGGTGCGTTTTTGGAAAGCTTAAATTTCCATACGAAATTTTCTGGGCTGGGCTACGTAGAACAGTTTAGTTTTTTCTCAAATAACTATATTCTTTTTTGTCATCCAAGCTTTGCACCCAACTCTTTTCGCCTTTGTTTCTTTTTTTTCAATAACAGAGCTAGTCTACCCCACCTTTAATATTGTCCGCTAATGTTTTCAGCGCGAAGAATAATAAAGTTAATATGTACGTTGGGCCGTGTATACGCTGCACAGTGCTCTATTTTTGAAAAAAAGGGACAAAATCAAACGTGAAGAGATAGCGAAATAAATAAATAGTATCGTTTGGTAGAATAACCTCGTCATTTAAAATGACTTTCCAAAATAAGAGGTTTGATTTGTTTTCCTTTTTTTGCCTGAATCCAAAGTTTTACCTTTGAAAGTCATTTTAAAGGTGTGATTTAATGAAAAATTACCTTGACCTCAAGATCGACGCTCAACAATCTAAAAACAAATAATATATTTTTTATTTTTGCGACCATGGAAATGGAGTCCTTGATGCAAGAACAGTAAAGTACATTTCCTTAAAACTTTTAAAAAAGTTCATCGCATACTGGTTACAGGAAAAAATTAAAATCATCAATATTTGAAGGTCAAGGTAGTAATTATTCAATTATTTATTTTTTTAACTCGAAAGCACTAAGCATACTAAGATTAAATGGGCTAATAAACTTGCATACAAATTTGTATTAAAACAGTTTGAAATGTAGATGCATTTTTCTAAATTTTATACAAAGTTTGAGTCTTTTTAAACGACTTCCAAAAAAGGAGGAGGTTATTAGTTCGTCGGAATATTTTTTTTTTTATGTATGTTATCGCATAACTTTGGACCATGGCAACCGATTTCGATAATTCTCAGTGTCTCAGAGGTGGTCCCATACTAATCTGGTATAGACCCGATCAGTGGATCATGAAATATATATATATATATATATTTTTTTTTTTCTTTTACGTCGGTTTTTCTTTTGCTAAAAATTGCTTGTATTTATATAGTTTTTGTTGCGGTTTGAGCTACATATATTTGAAAAAATTTATATATATTTATTCGCAAAATTCTACCACTTAAAAAAAAAGATTGTTAGTAGTTTTCACCAGGTAAAATTTACATTCCTATTTTTCCCCATTTTTTAACATTGACCATCGCTAAGTTTGTTTAAAAAATCGGATGAAAAATGTTCAACCTGTTAATAGGTAAGTGAATCAAGTACGAAAATAATGGTTTTTAAATAAAAAAGTTTGTATTCAGGAACTTTAAAAAAACTATTTTCATGTTTTGCTCGACTCTGCATACCTACAACCACACTAAGTTTTGTTTCGGGAAAATTTCGCGACTTTTTTTGTATTTAGCACCGTGTGGCCAATCGCCCTTGCAAGGAGATAATTACCGCCATCCATCCTAGTAGCTTAGATATAAACAGTGCAAAGTGTGCGACACCTAGGGTTGCCAACCGTACTATAATGTATAGTATTGTACTATTTTTCCGGTCGGCGTCCTATATACTGTTGGAAAAAATATAGCCCGCAAAAATACTATATTTCTTCAATTATAAAGATAAACATATTTTAGTAATTTGCACGAAAAAATGTGTATGAAAATGGGTTAACTTCATTTTGAAATAACAATATTAAATAAAATAATCTTTAAAGCAAAAGACCACCGTGAGTTTATAATCAAAAAATTTACTTAAAATTATTTCATTTCTACTCTCTATTCCAACATCTTTGGCATTCACGGGAAAAAATTCTCTATCATTTAAAAATCGTTTTTACTTTTTATTTTAAATAAAATACTATATTTATTTGAAGTGTACTATATTTTTTCCAATTTTTTTGAAAAGCACTATAAGTATCTACAAAATGTTGGCAACCCTAGCGACACGGTCTCTCAGCGCCGAAGGAATACCAAAAGGCCTCCAGTCCCCCACCGGGAATAAGGCGCTAGACAGCAAACTAGTTAGCTTTCGTGATATGCAATCGATTATGTACATATATATCTTTCGTGATCAAACATCTTAACCTGTCGAAAAAAGGGCTTCCAATAGGCTCCCAATGTCCGGCTTTTGTTTAATTTTCATATATCGTAGCACCCCTAGACAACACAGTGGGTTTCCTGTGATGTTGTTACTGTATTTTTATTTTTTTTTACTTTTTTTGGTTATGTGGCATCCGAACTGGCCTAATACACATTTCTTATCGGCACTTATCTCATCGCTTCATTTTAGATATTTCTGGTCTTAAGCAGCGTGTGGCTAAACCATTTTGCTATTGTTTCTACCGTCCAAATCTGACTACTTGCATAGATATATATGTATGTAGGTATGTACGCCGGATATATGTAATGGGCTGGTGAACATAGTTCCGCAAAAATTGCACTTCACAACAACAATACACTTCCATGTTCCGATGTATGTACGTGCCATCCAAGTAAACATACGCGACCAGCTCAAAACTATTTGAAGCGAGTGATTTCTGACGTGTGTCGTATGATATTTCAAAACAAAAAAAAAGCGATCTAACTAAAAAAAAAATAGTTAAGCTGAAATGCAGCCCACAGAACTAGCACCAGAAAATACAAACTTTGAGTTGGTCATTTATTTATTAGCATAATTCATCTACAGACACCTGACTGTGTGTACGGAACGTTAGAATAAATAAATAAATAACTGAGCAAATAAATTTCTGAAAGATAAAATAACTATTAAAGAATTATTTCAATATTCATAATTGCAAACTATTGTCAACGGAGCTGCTGCAATCGCCTTATCACAGCCACTTGAGAAGGCAAAAGTGGAAAAGTGTACCTATGAATGACTTTGCTGCCGCCAAAAAAAAAAGTGCTGTTGAAAACTGATGTAATTTGTGGCAACATCGTCGTAAAGCTGAGTGATGCTATCAGGGGTCTTTACAGCCACAGCAAGAGGTTCAATAATTTATAAAAAAACTGCAGTTCGAGTAGTGCGCACGCGTATTCACAAAGTGTCCTTACTGAGCTTGCTGGTTCCTTATTTGAGCAGAGCCTGCGATTTGAATTTAAAAAAAAGTGAAACTAATAACAAAAACTCTATAAAAAAAATGTCTAGCAATAATGCGTTGAATTTAAAAGCAATTACAAGTCGTCAGCTACGGAGCGTATCCTTGCTTTTGCTTCTAATACTTCTAATCCTCTCAACGCGTGAGGTGGACGCCGGCAGTTTCGCGGTTAATCGAACAGGTATGTACATGCATATCTTTGTATTAGTTAATAAATTGGGTGTAACAGAGCAAGAAACACTGCGACCTTTTGTGTGCCTATAATATGTCCCCAATCCGCTTCCTTAATTAACGCCAACAGTTCCTTAGTAGACGAATTCCTAATAAAAAGGTCGATTATAGGGTAATGGACATTTACACAGTAAGTGATTCGGCTGTGGTCAGGCCAATCCAGTTCATATGAAGCCCCAGATGATTGAGACTATAGATTAATAACTCATGTTGATAATTTGGTCATTATCATCCCTGGTCGATGTCTAAACTAGGTGAATGAAATACTCGAAAGGACATCCTTGAGAGATGTTCATAGCTAGACAAGAGAGGAGTTAAGAAAAGAAAAGATCGACTTAGTACTTTTTACTAGATAGTATAAGGCCCTCCATGCTAGCAGATATTGAGTGAGACTTTCAATAAATATTTACCACGCACAGTAAACTGACTTGAGAGGCAGTAGCGTAGGTAAGGGTTGTAAGGACATTCATCCCCATGAATGCCGATAATAAATAATCAATCCCCTTGATTCTTACCCAAAATACGATATAAGCTACTTTTTGATGTAGAATTCGGAAGGAAGAATAAAGAAGGCCCTCAGTGCATTAAACGCTCCTCAAACTAATTCATTGAACAGGCCAATTTTATAAAGGGGTCATAAGTCCTATATAGTATCTATAGCGGAATGGGTGGAAGTAAGAACTTTGATCCAATTCGCTTTGTGTTCGACGGAGTAGGGTAGACGAGTCACTATTTACTGCGTACCAGGATACAAAGGCATTGAAGCCAATGTGTGGGCTGGCAGGTTAGGCAAAACTGGGTAACAAGTCAGGATTCAACCCCTCCCTCAATTATCTCTAGAAAAGACATAATCGGGAATTTCAACGACATCGGAAGAAAACCACACTTTATAGTTATTTTACTAAACTCGATGAGGAGAGAAAGCAGCTGCTTTTTAATAAATTGCACGGTTTCAGCCCAAAAAGTCACTATCTGCGTTAATAGCCAAGCCAAGCTTGTACCTGCTTATTTCATTGCTTTCAGCAGACAAATGGTTTGAATAGCCAATCTGAGACCCATATAGCCAGGCTAATCTAACCTAACCTTGGTCTCTGAATTTTCAATACTGACCAAAATCAACAGCAAACTAAGTACACAGAGTCGATTGTTTTAATGTCGGCTGTAATACCGGGATTTCCATTAAGCATTGAATAGAAAAGTTTTCACATAGCATTTTTTAAATACATAGGTACTTAGAACACCTTTTTTGTTATTTTGTCGAAATCCATTATTGTCTGTTGTCTTGATCTAAACAAATAATTTATTAGGTATTCGGCCGAGCTTCTCCAACTTGCGGTGTACATCTTCATGTTATCACACGAATGAAGCAGGCAGCAGTTTTACCCGGCCTCTGAACTTCAACTGGATTTTTATGAACATTTTTTCATAGCAAAATTGTACTTGGAGATACATATACGATTGGCTGCGGGTGGGCCGCAGCTACTAGGCTTGGTTAGGTTGGTGTGGCAGTCGGTGCAAATAACCAACTCGCTTAGACCTTGAAGGTCTATTGTTGTTACACTGCAAAACACGGGAACCTCAGTGACTATTCCTCATAGAACCATTTTGAAGCTCTTATAAAGCGTATCTAATAAGCCTACTCTCCTCTTGGCCAAATCTGGGCAATTGCAGAAGAAGTGCTGTACGGTTTCTTCCTCTTCCTCATCTCTGCAACTTCTGCAATATTCGTGGGAGAATATTTCTAGTCATAAAGAGCGCCTACCAATTAGCCAATGACCAGTTACACAAGCCGTGACCATCGCATTATCCTCTCTTGAGAGGCTGAGCAACTCTTTTGTCCTGTTTGTTCTAGAAATGCCCTCCTCTAGTCATGACCTGTTGGCCTCTTGAATCATGTTATTTCTAAGTTCTAATCAGCAGGTTGCCATGGGCATTCCAATTATGCCTCTATTTTCACTTTTCCCGGCTAGCTCAGCGGTCCCCCAGTTTGCCACAGCTACTTAAAAAAATTGGATGTTAATCTGACCAAAAATCGATTTTGGGTTCCACTGAATGCTAGTGCGGACCTGCAACTTCTCATCGACAGCAAAAAAAGACAGATGTAAAGCACTTAACGAATGTGCAGGGCTGAGGGCTGGGCTCAACTTCATTCTACATAGCAGTTTGAGATTTTAGAGGAGCGCTAATTTAGGACATGGCTTCGTGGGACAGTTTACCTTGTGAGCTCGTAAATACCGCTTTAAAACCAACCGTGAATCGCTTTGCTTATCCAAAAGCCCACCATGACAATCAGGACAGTAGTAGATTTGTAAGATCTGAGCCCACCAGTGATGCCAGATTGTGGGTAATTTCCCTATTTGAGGGATATTTTGCATCAAAAATTATTAAAAGGGAAAAAGGGACACTTCATATATATAAGGGATTTTCTTTTGACGCAGTTATTGTTGCATAATTGATCAAAATTCAAGAATATTCGACATTCTTACGTAATTAATCGTTCTGAAGATGTGATGTGGAGTGAAATGGTATATAATTGTTAAAAAGTATAAGGCCAATTTCGAAAATTTTCTTACGTTAACCAATTCAAGCGCTGAGTAAGAAAGAATCTTTTCAGTTGTAACTGGTGTTTCATGTAAAAAGCGGAACAAATTATCTGATGAAATGTTAAATAGCACATGAATGTGCTTCAATTTTAAAGTCACCAAAAAATTCTTTTAGGCCCTTAGTGAGTGAGCAAAAAAATGAAAGGGAAAAAATGAATGAGTGAAAAAAATGCAGAAAAAGGGGTTTTTTCTTAACAGCGGTCGGCCCTCGACAGGCAATGGCAAACCTCCGAGTGTATTCCTGCCATGAAAAACAGCTTCTCATAAAAATACACTTGCCATTCGGAGTCGACGTAAAACTGTAGGGCCCTCCCCTTTGTGTGACAACATCAAGGGGGCCGCCACAATTTGGAGGAAAAGCACATATGTGTAAGCGCCAAACTATTATTATTATTTTATATGAATTTTACTTCTTTACTACTGAAACATGTATATGTTTAAATTCGTTGGGAATTTTGTGGGATAAATTTTCAAGATGTGGGTAATTGAGGGATTTTTTCCCCATTTCCGTGGGATATTTAACAGAGAATGTCTGGCATCACTGGAGCCCACACCGATAAAATCGAATCAGCTAAATAATTCATGTAGAGTTTCAGTCTTTCACCTACATAAGTAGTTTAAGTTACGTCTGAAGCTTGCATTCGAAAGTCGATTTTATTTTATATTCGACTTGTCATCAACAATTTTCGACTCTTGAAATTTTCCCCAACGTTAAAAATTCAAAATATTAATATGGCTTTTATTTTTCTTCCAGTCCCCGCCTGCAAAATACCCCGTATTCCCCTACTCTGTGAAAGCAAAATACTGCGATATGCCTACAATGCCACCACCGGCAAATGTGTGAGTCTCTATACCAGCGGCTGTGCACCCAGTGCGATCACAAAACATTTTCTCACCTTCGAGGAATGTCGACGCGATCGTATGAAAATACTTCGATACTAAGTGATGAAGCATTTCCAAAGATTGCAAACAACTTTAAACACTTAATAGCGAAAAATAAAAAATAAAAAATAAAATCTTTGTAGCAGTTGAAGAATTTTAAGAGTTTCCCTTTATGTGTGCGGCAAGCAAAGCTGCACAAAAAGAACTGAATTTGTAAATAATTATGTAAATATTTATTTTTTAACTTATTTAAATAAAACATTTGATAAATAAGCGTAGGTGTTTGTGTTTATCTTATACACGTTAAGGAAATTAAGGATTTTGGTAGGTACATTTTTTTACTAGAATTTAATGGGCTGCAAAACTGCAAAAATTCTAGAAAATCTGATTAAAAAATTTAAAATTTGCATGAAAATTTAGTGAATTTTGCACAAAGTTTAGGAATTACATTTTATATTTTTTTGTTGTAGAATGAACCATATTTTTAAACAAAATTGGCGGAAAAATATATTGTGAAAAATTTGCTGTTCCAATACTTTGTTCCGGCATTAGCGTTAGCTGAATAGAAAGATGGCGAATTGCAAACTGATATTAGAGCTTTGTGTTTACTGTACATATAGTAGCTTTTCGCTCGTACTGTACGCAGCTACGAAATGGTAAAAGCGGTTTGTGTTCTATATGTGGTGTTCAAAACCGTACTATGCATTTGGTTGGATACCAGCTAGTCAGTCATGCGCGCCTGACAGAAACCGAGTATCATTTGTACCATCAGTGTTGTTTCTGGAATGGGTTTAGTGATATTTTTGCATCGCTACTACTGACTACTATGTGAAATTATGATACATTGAAATTTTGCAGAAGCGATGCGAAAATTATCGATGATTCGTTACAAAGCAGCTCACAGATTTACACTTACAGGTAAATGTTTACTAAAATTGGTAGAAAAAATCTTCTAGCAGAAATAAAAGTTAAATTTTTGATAAAAAATATTTTGCGCAGAAAATGTTTGCGAAACTGCGGCTTGTAGTTTGGACAGCCTCCGAACTTAAAAGCCGGAAAAGCTACTGTTTTCATCGACAGCCCATAAATGAGACAGACAACTCCATACCGAAAACCGTTATATTACAGAATTCGGATCCTCTTAAAGTTTTCATTCAAATTTCGGGAAGTTTAGTGTGAAAGGGTACTTGCCTACATACATATGTATGCCATTATTTATGTGTTGAGTATCAATATATCATCGTTCGAATTTCAGTCAGCCCCAGTGCACTTCATTCAGCAAACCACAAACGACCGGTATGGAAATTTTTTCGGTTAGTTGGTTGTTCTACCGTGCTCCGATTTCTACAAGGCGCACATAAGCAATCAGCAGGAAAACTAACGAATGTCAGTCAGTTAGTCAGGTTGCACATCAACATTGCGGACACAAACCTTTGATCGCAAATATTACCGAAAGTACAGTACGAAAAGAAAAATTAAGAAGACAACATTTTGTAATTAAGTCAATGTTCAAAAGCTCATTTCCTTCCTGTCTGCATCTACATTTGTATCAACATACATACGATGCATGCATAAATTTACACGTAAATATTCGTTCGTAAGCTATTTTATAACGCATAACAGGGTGGTCCATATGCTTTTTTTATCATATGTTATTTTGTCAGAACGATTCTGCTCGAAAAATCATTTTTTCTAACAAAGCGAATCTTTCCTCGGCGGCAGCAAAACTGTCGCATCCGGGGCTCGTAAACCCCCCACGTGATCGTCAAGAAGGTTGGTTTCAGCAGGATGGCGCGCCAGGCTACACAATTCATGCCACAACCGATCTTTTGCGCGCCAAGTTTGGTAAACGTGTAGTCTCGATTGGTAATTGTCTCGGCGATGTCGATGTCGGCCACCTCGGAGCTGCAATTTGATGCCGTTAGCCTTTTCTTGTGGAGTGCCGTGCAGGTCCGATGTTATGCGAACAATCCATTAACGATTCAGGCCCTTAAGATGAATGAAATTTTGTTCCATAAATAATGGGAATTTTTGTTCTTTCAATTAAACCAATAATACCGGAAAATTTAATTTTCTTACTTTTTTTGCATTTTTGGAAAGAACCCATTTCATGATCCTCCCTTTATAAACAAGTAAAAGGGTACATATAGGTTCGGGCGGAACACCGGCGCACTTACTAAATATCGTATTGCAGCTTCCTATTAACTATCTTTGCATGATAAGCAGGGATGTTTTTTTTCGATTTCATACTTTTTCGATAATACGCTGAGCTAGACTTAATGATTTAATTGAACCAAGTTTGGTAGAAGTCGATAAAGTGTCTACCAAGATACAGCTTTGTAGTCATAAAGTGCAGGTTTTTTAGTGAAACTCTAAGCAAAGTTCGTACCGAGTTTAGTGAGGATTGTTGCAGCGGCTACTGAGTTACAGCAATTCTTCATAAGTGGGCAGTGCAACACCCATTTTCCAAAAATTTCAAATTTTCTTATTTTATGCCAAAATATTACTTCACATTCCGACTTGAAACAATTTGGATCTACACTCTAAAAAGTGCATGTAAAACTACTACTGAAAAGTGTTTATTTTTCAACCAGAATCTGTTCAAGTATACGCACAAGATGTTCAAGATTTGATTTTGAGCATGAGTTGTTTAAAATATACACATGAAATGTTTAAAATTACAAACATTTTGAAAGTAAAAATATATTTTTTACAAATAATAAATACTAAGTGCCAGGGGCGCACGCAGGAATATATTTTTGGGGGGAAAGGATTTATACTTCTAAATATATATCGTCAGAAAATACTGAAAATTCGCTCTTTAAAATACATTTATGCAAGTTTTATGTACAGTATGAAATAAATAAATAAACTTTTTAAAGTTTCATAAATTGCATTTTATTTACATAAAATTTACAAAGAACTCAGACATTTTCAACCGGCTTCAAAAAAGGGCAGGTTATCAATTCTTCGGAGTATTTTTACTTCTTTTATTTATTCCACCGTATAACTTTGCACCGCGTGAACCGATTCCAATAATTATTTTTTTTACCGGAAAGATGGTACCTTAAGGGTCGTCTCGTAATTTGGTTTAGATCCGATCATTAAATCATGAAAAAATTAACGGTTAAAGATGCACTCAACTTTCAAAAGTAATACAAAATTTTACAAAAGAATTTTAATATAAATAAATTAAATAATTTCACGAAATTTTTACACTTTTTTATTAATTTTCGCCGATTTCTGGTTTCTCATTTTTTAATAATTCGAATAACGAAAATTTAACTGAAATTGTATTTTTATCACGTAGCTCATTTTGGTGGAACGAATTCGAAGTTAGCAAATTAAATCTTCGAATGCTTATTAAGTACATATTAGTGGTAAACTTTTATAGGCTGTAAAGTGTAAAAAGCAACAGTAAGTGAGTATGCATTGCATATTTTTAGGACAATGTTTTCATTCGCAGTTAAACTTTAAAGAGCTCTCAAGAAAAAATGACAAATTCTTACAAAATGACGCACAAGAAATGGAAAAGAAAATTTTTTCTTTCAAAATTTCTTATATCATAATAAATTTAGCCCCAAAACCCACCCCTTGTGTGCGCTACGTGACAAATTTGATATGTAAAAGTAAACAGACATTGTTTAATTTTGCACACTCTAGGAGAGGAAACTGGTTACCTCTCTTTATATGCGTAAATTTAAACGAACATTTTTTAGAGGAAATTTTAAACATTTTATGTGTAAACTGTGAAAATGTGAACAATAAATGTTTAAAACTCAAAAAACAAATTTGAAATTTGTTCTACGCCACACATATGATGAGTAAAAGTAAGCTAGCAGTGTTTAAATTTGCATTCATTAAGAGAGGAAACTGGTTACCTATCTTAATATGCGCAAATTTAAACAAAAATTTTTTAGAGTGTAGTACTTACGGAAATATCGTAGTTTTTGCATTTTTTGAAAATACCGTTGAATGGGAGGTGAGCGTGGTTACAGTCCGATTTTCAATACCCCACGCTGCAGCGATCCGAAAGCCTGAACAAATGTTGGGCAATTGCCCAACAACCGTGTTTCACTTATAACTTGGAAGCTTTTTTTCCCAAATACATATAACTCGAGACAAAGAACGATCAAAACCCCGGAAATAGTCATATCTGGTATACTGATGGTGCCAAGAGCGACCATGGTGTTGTAGCAGACAGACGTCCACGGTGTACAACATAGAAGACTATAAATACTTTCCGCTAGCATAAAATAAGTTATTTCAGTCTTTCAATCCGGGCTGCCTGCCATTGAGCTAAATATGTATATCTTAGACAGTCTGCAGGATCTGCACATCTTCTTAAACTCTAAAAGCCTCGAAAACTGGTGTTAATTCATTACTTAGCTCAGACTTCGCTTACTAGGGCCATCTTGCTTAGAACTACATGACCTAAATAGTACTTAGCCATGAGACCTCGCAATGTTTCTAACGGATGCGTAGATCGAAAAAGACCGATAGAGGTTTTATTACGAAAGATCGTCCTTGATCGCGGTAACTACATATCTATGTGGGTGACTTGCTCCCTTCTTTAAATACTGAATACTCAACTTATCTAATCTAGTGTCCCAAAATCCATTGGATCATTTAGTATGTTTTTTTTGTGATCATTCTTAGACACCCTCTATTTGTGCTTATTCCATGGATTTTTGTAAATCTATAAATTATGTTACAAAGTTTTCAACTGACAATGACTCTAAAATTGGCACTTATAATTAACACAAGCATTAGAATTGGGAATTGCCGGTGGCAATTATATTTAAGCTGATAATATTTACAGTTGTTTAGATACTTGGAAAAGCGAAAATGATTAGCATATACCAGTACGTAATATTTAGATATATGTATATGTATGTTTGTAGTTTTACCTCATTAAATTACTAGCTATGAGTTTTAGGACAGCTGATTGACACAATGAGTTCTACTTGAAAATATCTTTATTTAATGATTGATGATTCGAAAATCTGTGACTAATAACTTAAGTACTAAATAGAACAGCCAAAAGAACTAAAAAAGACTAGCAGACCCGGCGAACTTAGTCCCGCCCAAAATTAACTCG